ATTGCTGAAAGCTAGGCCTGACCGTGTTGTCCCTGTTTATTCCTCTATGAATTTTATGGTTTTAGTTTAGGGCCTACACATTTAGGTCTTTAATCCATTTTGAATTTATCTTTTTGTAAGATGTGAAGCATGGATCCTTTTTCTTTTTTCTGCTTGTGGAAATCCAATTTCCCCAGCACAGTTTATTAAAGAGATTCTTCTTTCCCCATCTAGTGGACTTAGCACTCTTGTCAAAAATCAGTTGACCATATTTCTAGACTCTCAATTAGTGTATATTATACCTATACCAGGCTGTTTTGATTACTATAGCTGTATGGTATATTTTAAAATCAGGAAGTATGAGTCCTCCTACTTTGTTTTTCTCCTTCAATATTATTTTAGCTATTCAGGGCCTCTTGCCTTTCTATATAAAGTTGAAAACTCATTTTTCTATTTCTGTCAAAAAAGCTGTTGGAATTTTTATCAGGAATACATTGAATCTGTAGATTGTTTCGGGTAGTGTTGAAATCTTAACAATATTACATCTTCTAATCCATGATGATGAAACATCTTTCCATTTATTTAAGACTTCTTTAATCTCTTTCAACAGTGTTTTATAGTTTTCATTGTATAAATTCTTCACGTACCTGGTTAGATTTATTCCTAGGTATTTTATTCCCTTAGATGCTACTGTATATGCAATTGTTTCCCTAATTTCCCTTTCATATTTCTCATTGTTAGTGTATAGACACCTAACAGATTTTTGTTTGTTGACCTTGTACCTTGAAACTTTGTTAAATTCATCTATTAGCCCTAAAAGTTCTCTTGTGCGCTCTTTGGTATTTTCTATGTTTAGGATCATATCATCTGAAAAGAGACAATTTTACTTCTTCTTTTCCAATCTAGATACCTTTTTTCCTGGGTGGGTTCTCAAGAGAAGCAAAACCAGAAAAGCATATAAATATACATAGAGAGAGATTTACATGAAGGAAATGGCTCATCCAGTTGTAGAGGCTGGAAAGGAGATCAGGTTGGGGACTTCTCCTGATTCATGTAGTCACAAGAGCTGGTGAACTTAAGAATAACAAGTCAGAAAGCAGGGCTCTGGCTCACAGTCTGCAAAGACCAATGAATCCCAAGATCAGCAGACAAGATACCATGTAAGTTATAGCTCAAGCCCAAGAACCTGAGGTCAGATGAACAGAAGCCAGCTTCAGGATCCAGAGTGCACAAAAACCCATGAGCCTTGCCAGAAAGTCCACCTATATTGGATGCAGGCCACACTCCCAAGAAAATTCCCTTTCAACTGATTGGCTACTCAGAACAGATCCCATCATGGAAGTGATCACATTGTATCAAGTCTCATCATGGAGGTGATCGCATCATTATATGACTGCCAAACTACATCATAACTGCCAAACCACTGAGAATCATGGCCCAGCTAAGTTGACACACAACCTGAACAATCACAGTCTACCCCTTGTCAACTTGACATCTGTACACATTTCCTTAAACCACACATAATCTCTGAATAATGACAATTATAAAATCATACTTGAGCCTAACATGATACAACTAACACACATACAACCGAAAATACAGTAACCCTGTTTACATCTTATATTTTATAAGTAATGAAAACAAAAATATTTGATGCACACATACAAGGAAGAAATTTTCATAACACAGTCTTTTCTGCAACTGGTAACCAGGTTGTAACTAGTATTTTGAACTACCTTCTTCCATCACCAATTCCATGTTCCCTTTGCCTCAGAAGCACCTCAGCTGGTCATGGTTCTTTGCCTAGTGGAGTGACCCGAACCTTCATTACTGAAGGGTCTGAGCCATTAATAGTCATGTCAGAATGAGGTTGTTGCAGTTTTCCATTGACTTTAATCACAGAGCATGGTAGTAATAACAGAAGCTCTAAGGAATCTCTTGCATTCCAAACATACTCTTCTTCAACTCCATTATGTAATATCAATCTGATTTCCTCTTGGTAAACAAGATCAATCACACCAGCCAACATGGTAACTCCCTTCTTTCCCTGTTGATTCAGAAGCATAAGGAACCCAGAGTGGATAGGTGACATTCTTAACTTCTAGTTCAATGGAATCAGGGATGTGTCTCCTGGCGGGAGCATTCCTGTCTTTGGAACTAAGACCTCTAGACTAGCAGAGCATAGGGTCGCAGGGACAGGAAGCAAAAATTTTGTGAGTGAGTCACTAGGGGTAATAGTGAGTGGTGCCACTCCCATTTTCACCCCTTGATTCCTGGACCCATGAATCGTGGATATGACAGAAATAGCACCATACATTGGAAGCTGGTTTAGAGCATATACAGCCTCTGGAGAACATTGCAACAATCCTGTGTTGTATTTCCACCTACTTGGCACTGTAATTGTGTCTTTAGAAGGCCATCCCATCCTTCTATCAAACCAGTAGCTTCAGAATGATGGGAAACATGGTAACACCAGTGAATTCCGTGAGCATGGGTCCATTGCCACACTTCATTTGCTGTGAAGTGAGTCCCTTGATCTGAGGTAATGCTGTGTGGGATACCATGATGATGAATAAGGCATTCTGTAAGTCCATGGATGGTAATTTTGGCAAATGCATTGTGTGCAGGGAAGGCAAACTCATATCCAGAGTAAGTGTCTATTTCAGTAAGAACAAAATGCTGCCCTTTCAGGATGGGAGTAGTCCAATGTAATCAATCTGCCACCAAGTTTCTGGCTGATCACCTCCAGAGATGGCACCGTATTGAGGACCCAGTGTTGGTCTCTGCTGCTGGCAGATAGGGCACTCAACAGTGGCTGTAACCAAGTCAACCTTGGTAAGTGGAAGTCCATGTTGCTGAGCCCATACGTAACCTCCATTTCTGCCAGCATGGCCACTTTGTTCATGAACCCATTGGGCAATGACAGGAGTGGCTGGCAGAAAAGGATGGCTGATTTCTACAGAATACATCATACTTTCCATTTGATTGTTAAAATCTTCATCTGCCAAGGACATCCTTTGGTGAACACTCACATGAGACACAAATACCTTCACTTCTTCGGCCCATTCAGAGAGGCTTATGCACCTACTTCTTCCCCATACCACCTTGTCTCCAAATTTTCCAATCATGTTCTTTCCAAGTCCCTGACCATCCAGCCAAACCATTGGCCACAGCCCAAGAGTCAGTATACAATCACACATCTAACCATTTCTTCTTCCAAGTAAGGTGAACAGCCAGGTGCACTGCTCGAAGTTCTGCCCATTGGGAGAATTTCCCTTCACCACTGTACTTCAGGGAGGTCCCAGAAAGGGGCTGTAGTGCTGCCGCTGTCCATTTGCGAGTACTGCCTGCGTATGATGCAGAACCATCTGTAAACCTGCATGAGTTTTCTCTTCCTCAGTCAAATGATGATAGGAATTCCTCATGAGGCCACAGATGCAGACTAGGAGATGAAAGATAATGTGACAGAAGTGGAGACCATGGGCATTTGGGCCACTTTCTCATGCAAATTATTTGTGCCTTTTTGGGGCCAATCTCATATATACCACTTTCATTTAATGATGGAGTGCCTCTGTGCATGTTCAACTTCGTGACTCTGTGGGTCAGACAACATTCAGTCCATGATGGGCAGCTCAGGCCACATGGACTCTTGGTGGCCCATAGTTAAGTGTTCAGTCTCTACTAAGGCCCAGTAACAAGCCAAAAGCTGTTTCTCAAAAGGAGAGTAGTTATCTGAAGAGGATGACAAGGCTTTGCTCCAAAATCCTAAGGGTCTGTGCCGTGATTGACTAATAGGGACTTACCAAAGACTCCAAACAGCATCTCTATCTGCCATTGACACGTCAGTCACCATTGGATCAGTCAGATAATATGACCCAAGTGGCACAGCCACTTGCTTAGTAGCCTGAACTTGTTGTATAAACTTTTCTTCATCTGGGCCCCACTCAAAACCGGCAGCTTTTTGGGTCACTTGATAAATAGGCCAGAGTAGCACACCAAAATGAGGGATATGTTGCCTCCAAAATCCAAAGAGGCCTACTAGGCTTTGTGCCTCCTTTTTAGTTGTGGGAAGTGCCAGATGCAATAACTTACCCTTCGCTTTAGAAGGAATGTCTTGCCCCACACCACTGAACCCCTAGACATTCACTAAGGTGGAAGGCGTCTGAATTTTTGTTGGATTAATTGCCCACGTTTTACCATGCAAATGTTTTACCAATAAGCTCAGAGTCATTGAAACTTCTTCCTTACTAGGTACAATCAGCATAATGTCATCAGTGTAATAGATCAGTGTGACATCTTGTGAGAGAAAAGTCCATCAAGGTCCCTGCAGACTAAATTATGACATGGAGCTGGAGAGTTGATATAGTCCTGAGGTAGGACACTTAATGTTGGCCTTGCAAGCTGAAGACAAACTGCTTCTGGTGGTCCTTGGAAACAGGCATGGAGAAAAAGTTATAGCCCCATGAACAGCTGTGTACCAGGTACCAGGAGATGTATTAATTTACTCAAACAATGAAACTACATCTGGAACAGCAGCTGCAACTGAAGTCACCACCCTGTTAAGTTTTCAATAATCAACTGTTATTCTCCAAGATCCATCTGTTTTTTCTGCAGACCAAATAGGTGAGTTGAACAAGGATGTGGTGCGAATCATCACCCCTGCATCCTTCAAATCCTTGACGGTGGTAGTGATCTCTGCAATCCCTCCAGGAATGCAGTATTGCTTTTGGTTTACTATTTTCCTAGGTAGGGACAGTTCTAATGGTTTCTGCTTGGCTTTTCCTATCGTAATAGACCTTACCCCACATGTCAGGAATCTAAAGTAGGGGTTCCGCCAGTGGCTGAGTATATCTATTCCTATTAGGCATTCTGGAAATGGGGAAGTCACTACAGGATGGGTTCGGGGATCCACTGGGCCCACTGTGAGACGAACTTGAGCTGACCCCATTAATAACTTGACCTCCATATTCCCCCACTCTGACTGGTGGGTCTCAGTGATGTTTTGGGTCTCCTGGAATTAGTGTCAGTTCAGAGCCAGTATCTAATAATCCCCAAAAAGTCTGATTATTTCCTTTTCCCCAAAGAACTGTAACTCTCATAAAAGGCATTAGATCTCTTTGAGGGAGACTGGGAGAAACATTAACAGTATACGTTTTTTAGAATGTTTTGGAGTCCTTCCTTAAGGGAACCCAACCCCCCCTTCAATCAAGGGGCTTTGAGTCTTTGAACTCCCTCAATTCTGGTAATTGATTGAGGGATCCTGACTCTCTAGTCTGGCAATTCGAGTTACACTGTTGTTCCCTTGACCTAGAATTCTTCCACTTGTACAGATCAAGTAAATATTTAGTAGATTCCCTATCTATTTCACTCTTAGGACACCATAACTAAGTAGACAACATCATAAGTCCATATGAATCAGACTATTCTGATTATTGCTTTGATTCTGCTGTCCATTACAGTAACCGCTCCCACCTTATCTTTGTCAATTGGGTGGCACCACTTGGTCCCTACCACCATGGGGTCCAGTCATTCTCATTGTAGTTAGGTGTCTTAATTCAGTTAGGGCATTTCCCACTGTCAAATCTGACTTACATAAAATAGCAATCAAAGCAGTCTTCAGCACATCTAAACTCCCTGAGGGACTGAATTGCTGGGCAGAGGGCTGTGGGGACCATGGTCTCGGGAAACATCTAGCTCAATTGACATAACACAGTTTATAAAGACAATGTTCTACATTCAACCTTGGTGAGTAGTGTCTGGTGTCTTAAAAGCCTGTGAGCATCCATCTAAGATACTCTACTGGTCTCATCCCTTTGGGAGCAAGGGAGAATGAAGAGAACAGGATACAAGCAAAAGATTAGTCCAAAGGACTAATGGACCACAGCTACCAAGGCCTCAACCAGACTGAGTCCAGTACAGCTAGATGGTGCCCGGCTACCACCACTAACTGCTCTGACCGGGATCACAACAGAGGGTTCTGGACAGAGCTGGAGAATGACGTAGAACAAAATTCTAACACACACAATAAAAGACCAGATTTACTGGCCTGAAAGAGTCTGGAGAAACCCTGAGAGTATGACCCCCAAACACCCTTTTAGCTCAGTGGTGAAGTCACTTCCTAAGTTTACTGTTCAGTCAGGGGTTGGACAGCCCCATAAAACAAAATGGGACTAATGACGCACAGCAGTCGAAGGACAAGGACTAGAAGGCAGAAAGGGACAAGAAAGCTGGTGAAAGGGAGCCCAAGGTTGAGTAAGGACAGTGTTGACACATAGTGGTGTTGTTAACCATTGTCATAGAGCATCATGTGTACTAACTGTTTAATGAGAAGCTATTTTGTTCTGTAAACCTTCATCTAAAGTGAGAATAGCAGCACAACTGGAAGGACGTAATCGATGTCACTGAACTGTGCAAGTAGAAATTTTTGAAATGGTGTATTTTTGGCTACGTATATTTTCACCAAAAAAACAAGGTCGAGAAAGGAGAGGGTTGACATGTTGTGGTGTTGTTAACCAATGTCATAAATCAATATGTGTACTGTTTAATGAAAAACTATTTGTTCTGTACACCTCCACCTAAAGTACAATTAAAAAAATTCAAAAAAAAAAAGCAGTCTTCAAGGATGCTGGGGCTCCCTTCACAAATTTCTTCCTCATTGCTGTGGTAAAAGGTGTGTCCTCTGGGAACTCCATGTGTGTGTCTGTGGGTGTAACCTGATAAATCCACTCTAACATGCCAATTTCCCTAAGCCTTTGGATACCTTCTCCTACAGTATACCAAGGCAGGTCTGGTAATTCAATTTGATTCAGTGTAGGTCACGGCATAATCCATGCTTCAGCAACCCAACCAAATAAGCTGTTAGATCCTTCCTAACCTCTGGAGCTGAAACACTGAAAGAAGAATCTATGCTTAGTGGGCCCATATGAATAAACTCAGATTGATCCAACTTTATGTTCCTTGCACCATTATCTCACATCTTTAATAGACATTCCCACACATATTCCCCAGTTTTCTTTGTACCTATTTAAAAATCCAAGAAGTTCTTCTGGAATGTAGTGTACTTCCTCCTGGGTCACACTTTGTACTTCACTTTTTGCAGTTCACTAGGACTTAAGTCTAGTTATAGGTCTAAAAGCCAAAATGGGTGGTGGGGATACGTTTTGAGAACATTCAACAATGCCTTGTAATGCATCTGCCTCCGGTAATACCCCCGACAATGACTCAGATGCTTCTTCAGGCGATGACTCAGATGCTCCCCCAAGTAATAGCTCAGATAAAGGATCTTTAGACACAGCTGGGTTAATCTCATCAGACTGAGGTGGAGGCGCTAATGATTTTGTTGGCAGGAGTGATTCAATGGAATTTAGGTGCTCAGTGTCCTCAGCTTCCTGATTATCTGCTCATATGTCCGCATCCTAAGTTTCAGGATCCCATTTCTTCCCAGTCAATGCCCTCACTTTAACTTCAGACACCATTCAAAGTTGGGATTGCAATTGACATTGTAATTCACTCTTACAATAAGAGTCTGGGTTTGGTTTTCGACAATATCAGCTCCGTTACTACAAAAAATAAGGCTTTCTTTCAGGGCACAAATGGTAACTTTGAGAATGTTTATATAGTACTTGGGCTGTGACTCTGAAACCCTGAGCTCATCTCTTTCTTTCCCCATTTTGTCTAGCAAAAGTAGGACCAACCAACCAGCTTTCTTATACTTCTCATTCTGACAAGATTCTAGAAATGTAACAAACATGCAAATACCCAGAGACTCGCCTCTCATCTATACTCGATCTATTTTGTTGGCGATATTTTGCACATTTCTATTGTTGCCTCATGACATGGATTAACAATGTCTTCTTTACTACTGGAAGCAAAGTCATTAACATCTTCAAGACTAACCAGACTTGAAAGCCTATATAGAAAACTCATCCTTACAATTTTTTTCTCTAGAACCACTCTCAGTACCAAATATCTTAGGCTGGTTTCTCTAGAGAAGTAAAACCAGTGAAGCATGTATATATAGAAATATATATATATATGTATGTACATATATATATAGAGAGAGAGATTTATATCAAGGAAATGGCTCATGCAGTTTTAAAGGTTAGCAAGTCCTAAGTCCAGTTGGACGTCAGGATGGAGGCTTCTCCTGACTCTTGTAGCTGGAGGGGCTGATGAACCCAATATGGACAGGTCAGATGGCAGGCTGCTGACTCTCGGGCTGCAGTAGCTGAAGAATTCAAAATTGACAGGAAAGACAGAAGGCTGCTGGCTCAAGTTCCATGAACCAGAGGTCAGACGATGATGAACCAAATGTGGGATCCAGATCAGAGCAAACGTCAGCAAGCTTTGCCAGAAAGTCCATGTAGATTGAATGCAGGCTACACTCCCAAGGAAATTCTCTTTCAGTTGTGTCAACTTATTGACTGCTCATAGCAGCTCTCATCATGGAAGAAATAACATTATATTTGATGTCATCATGGAGGTGAGTATATCATTACATAACTGCCAAACTACATCATAACTGCCAAACCACTAAGAATCATGGCCCAGCCAAGGTGGCACACAACCTTAAGCATCATAGCCTGGCTCTGTCTGCTTGGAGGTTTAGGTAGGGAGCAAAGGATAAAGAAAAAGCAGAAGCTCCAGGAAAAAACCTGAGTAGGCAGGTTCTGGATATTACTACTCCTAGCATATGAGAAAGGGGTTCTTGTTTCACTTCTCCATGGGCGTGGAGCAGTGTGTGAGCACTGAGGCTGTCATCATAGGACTGACAGTGATAAATAGCCTCGTCCTCAGGCTGCAGCCCAGTAATGGTCAGGGAGGCTGAGTTGCCAGAGTTGGAGTAAGAGAATCGATCAGAAACCCCTGAGTGTCGGTTGCTATCCCCATGAATGAGGAGTTTGGGAGCTGTTCCTGGGAGTTGTTGGTACCAGTGTACACAGAAGCCACCGTTGTTGCTGCTTCTAGTGCAGGAGATGGTGATCTGCTGGCCCAGATCCCCAGACACTGAGGGTGGTTGAATCAGCATATATTGTGCCCAGGATCCTGGAAGAGGGGGAGACAGACAGATGATGATTCTGGGGTCCAGAGACATGAGGAGAAAGCAAAGCCACATGTGTCTTCCCAGGGACACTTCCCCTGGCCCAATCTAGTCACCTGTGAGCAAGGAGGGTGAAGAGGAGCGGAGATCATGCCATGGTGGAAATCTTCCTGAATCTTGCCTTCTGTGGCCCCACAGCTGAAGCAGTGCTTTCTCAATCTCCCTGATCCCCTCTTCATACTCTTGAGAGAACGTAAGGCACATTCATGCAAATGAAACCACCCCTAGATTTATGATCCCCATCCAGGGCACTGAGTCAGGCAGAAGGGCCAGGAGAGTTGGATACAGGTTAGGCTGTGTAGGTCCCAGGGATTGGGAGATCACAGCTAAGGGATGTAAGCTCTGAGCAAAAGGCACCAGGCAGAGCTAGGTTCTGCTTCCTAGATCTGATCACCCCCAGACCCCTCAGGAACAATCCCTGAAAGCCCCCTGCTGCCCAGACTCATACACAGTCATTGTGTGACATGGAAATCAATCGAGCCACTTAGAGACAGCTCCTGCTTCCACTGCTGCCACCAGGCAGCCTCCCAACTACTTTAAGGGAATTCCTTTTTTTCTCAACGGAGTCCCTTCAGGGGAGAATCTGTCCCTGGATCCCTTGACTGTTCATCAGGTCAAGACTGAGGTGATGTCTCTCAGAAAAATTCCTCTTAGATCAGGAATCAAGTCCATAGCAGAGACCAGCAAACATGGAAGCACTTCTAGGTTCTTTCCTCTGATTTTTTTCCATCCCTAGTGACCCAAAATCTCCTTCCTTGTGATTCCACTGCAGCATTAAGGAGAAAGACTGTTCTTCTCTCTAGTGGTGGTTGTGGTGAGAGAAGTCCTCATGTGCACTCCTAGAGGGCTGGGCAGTGTGAATCTTCATCTTCTGTATTTCTCCATATTTGCAAACAAAATCTTCCATACATTTTGATGAAGATATTTAGTCCTATGAGTCTACTCTCCAAACACAGGGACACAGGCTGCAGGGGGCAGACCTAATGACACTCTTTGCAGCAAGTTACTTAATAGCAAAAAGTGCAAACACACTGAGAGTTTGAGGATGGAATGGGTTAAAACTTTGAAGCCGTACCAACCTGACACACGGTAGGGATTATGATCAACCGTTTTAAATAAGGTACTTAGGGAAAATATATGTTTCATACTGAAGCGTGAGTGCTGTCAAGCTAGTTAAAAATGAGAGAGAAATCAGTAAGTCCTGAAAGAAGTTCCGCTATACATTAATCTGCCAAAAAAAATAAAACTTCAGGGGAAAAAAAAATAATCCCATTTAAGAAAATCAAAGTATGAAACAAAGGTTTGTATAACAGAAGTAAAGTTCTAGAAGTATACACAACGGAGTCTGAACATGTTTAGTTTGGGACATTCTATGAGTTGGAGAAGATTAGCACCATTTTCAGTGTGGTGTGCTCTATAGATGAACGTGCTACCATGTGGTTGCATAGCTTTGAGATTTTTAATGCACCAAAGATTTTAAATGGATTAGTGTATATCTAAGATAGTCACTTAAATGAAAGTAGTCCCTAAGTTTAACTGAAAAAAAAAAATCTATACTTACGAGAATACCATTTTTTTAAACGTTATTTTCTTTATAAACCTTGTTCTGTATTTCTCTCTCTTTTTTTTTTTTATATACTTTTATAGGCAGTTTTTTGTAAGGCTTACTGTGTTTAAAGTACACGCCAGGCATCTTATAAAATTTCATTCATTATCAAGTAGAAATTGATTTTTTGAAACATGACCATCCTTGTTTTCTGGGTACCGCTCCTTCTTTGAAGATGCGGATATTTTGTTTCCCTTTTTGCTCCCAATTTAAAATGAGCGGGGATTATCCCAGGCTGAGTTGTCTCTCACACTCAGGAGGAAGCTGGCCATGGTCCCTCCCTCACCTCGTCCTTGGGGTACCTCTCAGCTCTCAGGCGGAGGCAGAGAGAAAAGTAGGTCCAAGCTGATTCTCCCAGTTCAGGCTCCATCCTGGGCCAGGACAATGTGGCTGGTGCAGTGACACATATGTCTGCACTTGGCAAATACTTCTTGAGCATCTACCTGTGTTGGGCGCAGTGCTTGGTTGTGGTTGTGCCGGCTGGGCTAAATAGCCTCATCCCTGCCTCATGTGCCGACCACAATGAGGAAACATACGGGTGGGAGACGTACATGGGGGCCTCCCTTCCTCATCGTCAGCACTGGAGGCAGGGAGACCAATGAGACCACTGCTGCCCTCATGGGTCTGACAGAACGAAGGTAAGTGGATTTTTAGAGGAGGAAGTAAACAGAGACAAAATGTGAGCTGAGGGAACAAGGGCAAGGTTTGGAGGTTTCTTGGGTGAGGTGAAAGATGAAGAGAATTTCAAAAAGTAGTTATTGATGGAGTCATACAGGGATGAACTGTTAGATCCAGGAGAAGGGACTCCTAGGAATCAAGGGATTAGAACCCAGAAAGGAGGAGGAGTTTCAAAGGAGAAATTCCTTAGGAGTGCAGGGAAGACATCCTTGGTTTTTTTCAGGGTCAAGAAGTTGCTGACTGATTGAATATGATCTACAGATGCTACTGAGGTTGAAAGGGGGCATAAGGCAAAGCTCTATGTCAGAAAGCGTGAGGCATGAAGAATGTATGAGAAAATTGAGGAAAAGACTGGATAAGAATTTCACATAAATGCAATCATGATAACTTGTAGGCTTCTGTCAGAGAAGCTGAAAAATCCAGAGCTTTTATTTTATTACCATGCAGGACATTAACTAGTTTATCCCCTACACAGAACATTTCCTTCAAAGGTCCTTTCCTGTTGGACTATAAATATAGTGTTTTTAAAAATGCCCTTTGACCAAACTTTACCATCTCACTGGCCCCCTTGTTAAAATATGAATTGAATAAAGTCTCTGGCACACATTCATTCTATATTCATGAGAGTCATGTGTTTACATTTATGAAAAAATTTCTCTGACCCTTTTAGAGATCATCCACTGAGTTTCTCAAAATGATTCACCTGCCAAATCTAGTTAAATTGTTGTGCCTGAAGAGTGAACTCTAGTTAAGCTCAGGGAAATCTTTTCTTAAATCCTGGAGTGACTCTGAAATGGAACTAAAACTTTACTTTTGCTGACTCCGTGTTTCTCTAGAGATCTGCCTCACTTTTGTGACAATGGTCTGTAGATAGATACTTGCGGTTATCAACCTGTAGGTTGTAACTGAACCATGACAGGAGATGAGAACCTAAGGGAGAGTGTAGTATTTGGATAAAAAAATCTCCCTATGCCTGAGAACACAACATGTCATTATTGGGTAGAGATGGAACATTCAAAAAGGACAATGACGAGGAGAGTCCAATGAGGGAAAATAAGGAGAATTCAATCAGGGTTCTCAATAGTGGTCTTGGTGTCCTGGCTAAAACAGAGTCACAGCTGACTCTGAGCATGTTTAACATTAATCCCAACTACAAGAACAGCAGAAGATGGTGACCAAGACAGCCTTACCTGTTACCAGGACCCTGAGAGGTGGAGAACATCAGGAATGACCCAGAGATTACCTGTGGCAGAAGTTGCTTTAAGATGAGAGCAGAAGGAGATCAGACATGAAGTGTGAGAGGTTCTGTGTTGAGCCTCTGAATCTGGTCCTCTCCTGATGGAATAGCAGGCTCCCAGGTGATGGATATCAGTACTGCTACTAATGTCACCTTTTTCTATTGTGGTTATATATATATATATAAAACTATATATATAGTTATATATATATAGTTATGTACATACTTATATGTATATATAACAAAATATTTGCCAATTTGGCTTTTCAACATTTTTTACATATACAATTCAGTAACATTAGTTATGTTCATCATGTTGGGCAACGATCACCACTAATGTCACTTCTTGAACCCTCTCCACCCCCCCGCCTCCCTTGGGGAAAAGGAGGCCTTCATGAGTATTTTTTCTGCTTTCTACCTCTCCTGAGATTACCTGAATCAGATCAATACCTCTCTAAAGGGAGCGGGTGTGGCTTTGTCTGGGAATGACTTTTTGCAGGGACATTAGAAAGGTCAAGAAACCAGAAGTGGAGCTCTGTGAGACAGAAACCGCCTGGCCTGTGTACCCCTGCCCCAAATCTAACATTCACTCTCCCAACACGAATGATGATAACGATGGAGGTCAGTGTAATGTGTATGATGGGAACCTCTTAGACTAGCCTATCCTTTTCCTCTTCTACGTGGACTCAAAATCTCCCAGTCATGTGGTTAGCGCGTGATTTACCTCAATCTCCAACTCCAGGGATGAGCTGTGAGTTGCCTGAACCAATCATAATTTGCTCTCCCAAAAATCAGAAAAAAGAACAAAGAAAAATGAATAAACCCTGAGAATTATGTGGGATAAAATCAAAAACAAAAATCTACAAGTGATCAGAGTTCCAGAACAGGGGGAGAAAACAGAAGACACAGAGACGATCATTGAAGAATTTCTAACAGAAAACTACCCTGATATCATGGAAGATGAAAAGTTGACCATACAAGAAGCTAACGAACCCCATATAGGATAGACCCCAAAAGAAAACCACCAAGACATATCATAATCACACTCGCTAAAACCAAAGACAAACAAAGAATCCTGAGAGCAGCTTGCAAAAAATGAAAAGTCACATAAGAGGAGAAACAATAAAACTAAGCTCTGATTATTTGGCAGAAACCATGCAGGCAAGAAGGAAATGGGATGACATACATAAAACCTCAAAAGAAAAAAATTGCCCACCAAGAATAACATACCCTACAAAACTCTCATTCAAATATGATGGTGAAATTAGATCATTCCCAGATAAACAAAAATTAAGGAACTATGTAAAAACCACAACAAACTTACAAGAATTATTAAAGGGAGCCCTTCGATCTGAGAACAAACAACATCTGACCACAGGCTGACTCTAAGACACAGGATAGTACCAGCCAGATACCAACCTAGG